CCCAGGGAGCCCCAAGCCAAGGCCTGCACTTGGACCTTGGGGCTCTGGGTGCTCATGGGTGGCACGTGGGAGAGCACGGAGTGGGGAGGGGTCTACCCACAGGCCCTCAAGAGCCAGGCAAGCCCACTCTACTCATGGGGACCTGTGGCCTGCAGCTGAGACGGCGTGTCCAGGGGCACACAGGAGGCCACTGGCAGGGCCCGGACAAATGTCCAGGTGCCCTGATGGGGTCTCCACAGTGGAAGAGGCAGGGATCAAGCCTCAGCCTCCCAGGCAGGTCGGGGGTGGGGGACAGCTCCTCATTGGCACCTCTGCCCCTCCATGCAGCCCCTGCCCCAGGCAGGTGCAACACTGGTGAGCCAGGTAGGGATGATCCCTGCTCCCAGGATACCTCCCAGCCCCTCTGGGAGGCCTTCTCACTGGGCCCTGAGGAGACCATTGTGGGGGATGCTGGCCTGGCCCCCAGCCCTGGCCACTGATGGCACATTGCCTGGTGAGCTTGGCACAGGGTCTGGGAAAGCTCCACTGTGGGACCACAGCTACTGCAAACCTCGTCTCTCTGGGGCCAGATGTCCACCAACATGACTCATGTCGTCTGTGAAATGCTTGCAGTGCAGATACTCTCATCTTTCCAACTTACAAATGAGGAAACTGAGGTTCAGAGACCGGAAGGGGCTTCCCAAGGCCAAGAAATGTGCCACTGGGATTTGAAGCCAGGCCAGCCTGCCCCAAAGACATTATCCCCCCAGAGCAGGTACATGCAGATGGGTGAGGGCCACACAGATGCCCCTGGGAGCAGCGCCCAAGTCTCCACAAGCCTGAAACACCATGCTAATACCGAAGTTAGGAGCAGCGGGTTTTAATGCATCATTTTGGATGCCATGGAGAGATGAAGGAGTCGGAGGTTCCCAATGAGTCCCGAGAAGTGTTACCCTTCCCCTCCCCCAGCATCTCCCCCTCACCTGGCAGAGCTTCCAGTTCCCGCAGAGGGCAGGGATGAGGACCCCTCACCCCAGCCTCCTGGAGGCTTATACCCAAGCATGGCAGGAGTGACCAGATGGGGGGTGCACTTTGCCCATTGCCCAAGGCTTGCAGGTGCTAGAAACATTGGGGTGCAGGCGCCACCCGGGTGCTCATCCTTCCCTTCTATAGGACTGGCTTCAGGCCCCCCTTGCAGAAGGAATCCCCATTCTGGGGCTGAGCCCACCCCTGCCTGGGCACACCCTTGCCCCCTACCGTGAGCTGGGATATAAATTAAAATTCAATTTCATTAAAGCCAGTGAGCAATCAATCCCTGGCTCTAGCTAACAATGCTGGGCAGGGGGCCTCTGCTGCCTCCATGGCTGTAATTCACTCGGCCTCCCCTGCTCTTGTTCGCAAACTGCTAGAGCTGCACTTTCCGCCCAAATTTATGGCACTGGCAGCGTCTGGGGCCTGAGTTACAGCTGCAGGTTTGATCGGGGACTGCATTATTCTGCATCTAATCCTCACGCTTGACAGCCCGGGAAGGGCCTGTTGTCTTCCCAAGCTGGGCATTGTCCTCTGGTTGGCCAGGCCTGGGTGTAGGGGGTTCTTAGGACAGGGCTCTGAGCCCCCGACGCCCAGGCAGGACACCACAGTCAGAGAACTCAACCCACACCTGACAACCACCCTCCCATTTCACAGATCGGCAAACTGAGGCATAGAGAGATTGTCTGAGGACCCTGTGGGTCAATGCTAAGCCTCTGCACCTTAGAAATACTGCCCCTGGGCACAGCAGTGGTGCCTGTGAGTGCCCACTGCAGCATTGCTGATAACAGCCCAAAGTCAGAGAAAAAGAACAAGCAGCCATCAACAGGCCACAGAGCACATGGACAGGGGACCCATGGAATTCTGGGCTTGTGGAAAACAGCAGGGCAACCCGGTGGGTCCCAGCATGTCCTGGAGACAGTGGCCCAAGGGAGACACAATAGTAGAACATTGCCCAACTATCGTGTGGACAATGCACGCAGGAAGCACATACGCCGAATGTGCAGGCTTGCGCACGCACAGAGAAGTCCGGAAATATAGATTCCACAGTTACCTCTGGGAACCATAAAGATTTTTGCCAGACTCGTATTTCCTCAGCGTAGGGCATCTGGCTGCATCTGGAAGTTTCCACACCCCTATCTGGGCCTCAGATGTTTTACTGCTGGTCCATGGAGGAGGCTCAGCTATTCATGCCAGACTCCCACCCATACATAGGGTGTGACCTGCTGGGACACTGGGCGCCTCCCACAAGGGCTGGGGCAACCAGCCCAGGCTCCCTGACCTCTGACCCCATTGGCAGCCTCAGGGCAAGGGGTGCTGACTCATGGTTCCTTCAGGGCATTGGCCCCCAGGAGAAGCTGGGACTTATCCAAAGTGCAGCCCGAGGCAGCATTTCCTGACCTCCTCAGATACACTGTGGACTCTGAGTCATTTGTGGCCAGGCTGGGCCTGCACTTCTGCCTGCAGCTTCCACCAACCGGACTGGTGGCCGTGCAGCAAGTACTTGCCTGTATAGGGGCCAATAAAAGGTGGTTCCCTCCCATTTGGCATTTTTCTTTTCTGAGCACCAGTGTCAATTATGGTCTCCTTTGTATCCCTGAGGGCTATGAGCAATTTCCAGACACCCTCCCTACCTTCCTGCCTTCCAGGGACCCATAGCTTGGAGGAGAAGCAGAACCAACCTGCAGGGAGTCAGAGGAGGACCCAGGAGAGCTCACGCCAAGGGGGGCAGCTGCCCAGCTTGGGCAGCACATGTGTGCTGCACATAGACATGCATATGTGCACACAGACACACATGCACATGTGCAAACCTGCACATATGCAAAAACACACTCAAGTCACGCACAGATGCACACACACTTACACTCATGCTCCAGCCATGGTGAACTCTTTGCTGTTCCCCTTCCTGCCTGTGCCTGGGCTATGCCCCTCCTGTGTCTAGCTATCTCCTGCTCCTTCAAAACTCAGCAGTGGTGGTGGCTGCCCGTGACACCTGCCCCAGGTTCCCTCTCCTAGACACACAAGTAGTTCACACTTCCTGCCCCCTTGAAGTCTGGCTGCACCATGTGGCCAATGGACCACGTGAGACCCTCCAGTGTCATCTCCCCCAAAGACCAGCACACACTGACAATAGGTACCAGAAATCCAAGGACAGCTGCCCTGGAGAGCTGCAGGCACCCACGGCCAACTTGTGTGACCAAGAAATGAAGTTTTGTTGTCCTGAGCGACTAAGGCTTGAGAGCATTTGTTATGGAGCATAACTGTAGCCTAACCTGACTATCATATACATCAGCCCAGGTGGTATCTCCTCCTAGAAGTGTTCCTGGATGGCCATCCCTCCCACCCCACCACAGAACAACCTGAACTTCCTCCATTAACACCCCCAGCCTGTCCTAGAACTGCCCGTGCACGGGTCCATGCCCCCAGACAGTACCCTCACAAGAGGAAGGAGTTGGCCTCTTGGGGTCTTAGCTCCTACCAGGGCCCAGCAGAAGGTGGAGGCTCAGTAAGTGACTGAGGGATGAAAGTATGAGTTAACCAAGAGTTGGAAACAGATTTGGACGAGGGGCAGCCATCAGATGGGAGAAGATGAGGAGGGTGATCCAGGCGGAGGCCGGCATGGGCAGTCACAGAGGCAGAAAGGTGCCAGAGGAAGAGGGTGCCTGGGCTGCGAGAGGCCCCGCCTGGCCGGGTGGGGAGTGGCAAGAGGTGAGCTGGGAGATTCAGAGTGAAAGTCCCCGTGTGAGTATTACTGAGCACTAATTCAGCGTGGCCCACGATTCCTGACCCTGCACCAGGACAATCCCGAGAACTTGTCCCCAGCCTGGAAGTTCAGGGCCCAACTAACCTCGCTGGTAGGGCACAGGCTAAGCTCAGCCCCACCGGGCAGTCCTCAGTCCCACCCCCTTCCACCAGACCCTGGCACCTCCCAGGTGACATCCTTCCCCATCCTGTGCGCCCTTTGGTGGGAGGGGGGGATGGCAGCCTCTCCCCAGGAGCAACCCTGGAGGGGCTGAGCTGTCCTTTGCTCACCCACTTGGCTTTTTTGTAAGTTGAAATGTATTTTTTTCTCTTTCCTAATTAACTCCCTGCCACCCTGCTTGCAGTAAAGCCTGATTTATCTCTGGTTTTCTGCATTCAGGGGACAGGCTATTTAATCTCAGCTGCGTGGACTCCAACACACTGTCTCAATGAAATGCAGATCCCTCATCCTGTTAGCATCCTGCCAGCACTCCTCCATCTTCCCGCTGTCCACAGGCGGGGCTGGCCGGGCTGCCACTGCCATAAATCACACGGGCTCTCTTATGATAATGCACTGTGCCCTCTGGCCACACCTGTCAGTGTGGCCTGGGACTCTGCCGAGCCAATCAGCTGCTCACGTGCACGGGCAGGGCCTTGCTGGCTCACCCACTGGGAAGCCAGAGGGTAGATCCAGGTGTGCACCGGTCTAGCCCCCTGTGGCTGATGCTTTTGGTGCCCTACCCACGTCCCCTTGGCCACACCCAGAGGTCACCTGCAGGCAGTCCCCACACAAGCTTTCTGGGGCATCCTGACCAGGAGCACACATGGCCCATTCGCTCAGCTCAGCACCCCTACAGTTGAGGACACTGCGCCACCTCCCACAAGCCTGCTTCCTGAGTGTTCCATGATGCCCAACTCTTCTCCTAATTGTGGGGAGTTTTTGTTTCCTCGAGGGACCCCTTTGCTGTTCCCCACAGGTTGGCTTCCACTTTTCCAGAAGACACCTGTGTCCCGTGCATATCAGAGGATGTGGCTAAAGCTAGGAGGAGTAAAGAAAAGAGAAGGATTTTCTAAGTCCACATGCTGGTGAATCTGACTCTGCTATTCCCCAGTTTAGGTCCTTCTCTTTTTTTATTTTAGAGACCAGGTCTCACCCTGTCACCCAGGCTGAAGTGCAGTGGCATCATCACAACTCACTGCAACCTCCAACTCCTGGGTTCAAGCCACCCTCCCACCTCAGCCTACCCAGTAGCTGGGACCACAGGCCTGCACCACCACGCCCAGCTAATTTTCCTATTTATTTTTAGAGATAGGACTATGTTGGACTATGTTGTCCGGGCTAGTCTCTAACTCCCTGCCTCAAGCAATCCTCCCAGCTCAGCCTCCCCAAATCCTGGAATTACAGGCCTGAGTCACTGTGTCCACCACCACTTTAGGCCCTTTACATCAGTCAGCTCTGGCTGCATAACAAACAGCCCCAAAACCTCAGCAGCAGAAAACAGTATGTATTTCTTGTATCCTGCTGATCTAGTCTGGGTTCCCTGGACTGGTCCCAAGCTATGGGTGAGGTTCAAGCCTATGGCTAGACAGGGCTGTTCTTCTCAAGGCAAAAAAAGAGGAGGACAAGAAGGCAAGCCCCACCATGAAGTGCACCTCAAGCCTCTGCCCTCACCACGTCCTCCACAGCCCACTGGCCAAAGCAAGTCTCTTGGCAGAGCCCAAAGTCAAGATGTAGACAAGTGAACGGTTGTGAATGATAATATTACCTACCACACCCCACAACATGTGCAGATCCCTGAATCTGTTGCTCTAGTTCTCATCAAAGCATAAGCTTGCTGACTGAGTTTGCAACGGTTAAGACCAGGCATGATCAGCTTTTTGGGAAGAAAGTCCTGACTGCTCTCCCGGAGGGTGTCACTCTAGTCTGGCCTCTTGCAAGGATAGAGATGCTGTGGTCAGCAACTCCCAACCTCAGTCTTCACCAGCACGTTGTTCCATTCAATCCATGACATTCCCTGGGAACATCACAGTGACAGACCTCACAATGGCAATGAATAATTAGATTCCTACCGCCTCCCATGGCCACAGCCTAATGGGGGAGACAGGGAAGCCCACTCTCCATGCAGGAACAAAATCAGTTCCGGAACAAAGACACAGCCATCTTCCCCAGAGCCTTAAGGACAGGGTAAGGAAAGCAATGCCCACAGGTCGAGAAGAGGGGACATTTGGGCTGGGTATCAATGGGTGCATAGGAGCCTGACAGGCAGGAGAGGAGGAGAACAGAAGGGCACGTTCTGGGCAGAGCAGGAACAAGGCCTGAGCATGCACAGCTTACATAGCAGGTTTTGGGGTTTTTTGGTTTTATTTTTTTGAGTTTTTTCTGTTTTTTTTTTTTTGGTCTGTTTCAGAAATTGTGTGTAGGGCCCGACCATCTTGACCGAAGCATGCCGTTACCATGGCACCCAACGCCACATCTGGCACCACATGAACATGCTCCTCTGACTGCGAACAGATGGATGGATTTCTTTTCCTGCAGAATGAACACATGAGCTCTATTTCATGATGACAATCACCCAGGTGGTTTTTGACAAGTCCTAAGTTGGGTCCCCAGATGCATTTTGTACCAAAGACCCTGGCTACATGCCTCACGGCCTGAAGGCCTAATGTGCTCTCTGTCCCCATTTGGCCACTGTCTGGGTGTGGGGCCCAGAGCAAGCCTCAGCCTAAGTGAAATGAGGAGATTACACTAGACCAGGGTGTTTTCAAACTTGAGTGGGTCTTAAGAATCATCACGAAAGCTTGTGAAATGCAAATTCCTGGACTCCACCTCCAGATATTCTGATTCTATAGGTCTGGAATGAGGACAGAGAATCTGCATTTCTAATAAGCTGTCAGGTGTGGCTACTGGTTTACAGATCGCTCTGGACTCCAGCCCCAGACCCCTTCTTACCTGCATCGGACAGAAATCTCTTCCACCTCTTCTGGGGCTCGAGCCAGCTGCATCAGGCAGGAGTGGCTGCAGTGCCAGAGGGAACATTGGGCCACATTCCCAACACTGGCTGGTGGGCCTAGGGCCCGCCATGGGGGAGCTGGGTTTGAGCCAGTCTGTGCGTTGGAATCATACTGAATTCATGGACAGGACCCATAGGCCCTTGCCACCTGCACAGCCTCACCTCAGACCACACCTCCTGCCCACCACGGGCTGCCGGGTCCCTTCTGCGTAAACCTGGCCCTCTGACACTCATGGCCACCTCCCCAGGAAGACTCCCAGACCCTTAGGGCCCTGATTCGTGTGTTGTATCAGCCCCTGCATCATTCCCATGGCAGCAATGCTGCCATACCGTGGTGACCCTGGCAGTGTGCCGCTCAGATCTGCCTTCCGTAGCCAACTGCCATGGGAGTGTCATGAGCTTATGGCCCCTGGAGGCAGCACCTGGGACGTGCAGGGGACCAGGCCCTGGCCATTACTGCCCTACCCAGCACTTCGCTAGAGCTCCCCGTGAGCCTGGATGGGATTTTCTCAGTGATCCCTCCCCTTCTCCTCCCACAGTTACCAGCCTTGCATCACGGCCCAAAGGTGCTCCCTCCCCACCCTTGTGCCCTCTGCCTGTATCTTGCACAGGTGTTGCCTTTCATAGACCTTTTGCACATCCACCTGTCCTGGCATCTGCTTCCCAGACAACCAAACTGACACAAGTAACCAAGTTAGTAACTCTCTGATGAGTTTCCTCAAGTCGTCCCCTCCATAGACTGTGAGCTCTGTGAGGGCAGGGCCTGCATCCTTCTCGCTCATCGCTGAACTCCCAGCACCTCGCACAGAGCTCCGCAGGCCGTGTGTGCCAACAACCACCTGCCGCATAATCCAGCCGGTTAATGAGGACACCGGGGGAGGAGGCAGGGGGCAGCAGACCGTGGGCCTCACAGGCTTCGTACGGACCTGGATTCAGATGCCGACTCCCTCACTTATAAGATAGATGAACTTGGACAAGTTTGTGAACACTCTGAACCTCAGTTTCTTCATCTGTAAACTGAGGATGATGATACTGACCTTGCAGAATTGTTGTAAAGACTCAATAAATGGGTATAAAGTACTTAGCATGTGGTGAACGTCCAAAACTTGAGACACTAGAAATATTAACTGGGCTGGACACACAGCTTCATTGTGTTTTATTCTTCACTGTAGTGTAATTCATACACCGCAAGATTCACTCTTGGATGTAGCGCTCTAGGTAGGCATGGACGCAGACGTACAAGCACTGCCACCACCAGGCGACAGAAGAGTCCATCACCCCAAAACTCAGCGTGCTCTTCCCCACCCCCACACAGTCATCTGCTCTGTCCCTACAGTTGTCCTTTCCAGAATGTCATGTAAATGGAGTCGTACTGTACCCACCCCTTGGGCCTGGATCAGCCCATGTCTTGTGTGCCAGCTTTTTGTCCTTTCTTGTTGCTGGGCAGTGTTCCACTGCCTGGGTGTTTGTCCGTTTCCTGGTGGAAGCACGTGGTTTCTGCTGTTTGGCTGTTGTGTGCTAAGCCACCGTAAACACTCCCATGCAGGTTTTTGTGTGACCATAAGTTTCTATCCCTCTTGGGTATATATCTAGGAGTGGGGTCCCTGGGGTATATATAGTGTCTGTGTGACACTTTATAGGAAAATGCCAAATTGTTTTCCAAAGTGACTGCGTCGTTTTGCATTCCTGCCAGTTGCTCTGCGTCCCTGTCAGTGCTTAGTATTAGCCGTAGTTTTTTTTTCTTTTAATTTTAATTTTAATCATTATAACAGATGTGTCTCTCACTGTGGTGCCTTTCACTAATGGCTAATGATGCCAAATGTCTTTTCACATGCTGATGTGCCGTCCAAAAATCATTTTTTTAGTGAAGTGACTATTCAAATCTTTTGCCCAATTTTTATTAGGTTTTTTTTTAATTACCAAGTTTTGCAAGCTCTTTATATATGCTGGATACAAGTCTTTTGTCAGAAATGTGTTTTGCTGCAGCCTCATTTTAAGATCCAGGCCCAATCCCCAAAGTGACTCTCCACGCCCCTTAAAGTCACAGTCATTTATTTGTGAAGCAAATCTGCACCACCACCCCTTGGTGGCCTGGTCAGAGCCCCACAGCCAGGGGCTGGAGAGTGCGGAGGAGGCTGGGAGCAGTCCCTGAAGTAAGAGCTGCTGGGGTGGGAGGAGTCAGCCAGGCAAGGGAGGAGGAGAAAGCATGCTGGGGGCAGGAGAAGGAGAGAATATTCTAGACCTTCTCTGCCCAATATGGTAACCATTAGCTCAGCCACCCAGTGGGGGGTTGGTTGAGCTGTGCCCCCTAATCCTGCTAACTTTGCATTCTCACAAACACCCTATGAGCTAAGGACCACTGTTATCCCCATTTTACAGATGAGCAAGCTGAGGCAGATTTTGGCTCAGTAATTTGCCCGAGGTCACAGCCAGGAAGTGGCAGAGCAGGGATTAGGACCCAGGCTGTCTGACTGCCCAGGCGACACTGAGCACAGGCCCACCTGCCCGCCCGCTAAGCCCAGGGAGGGATGGGACAGGAAGGGAGGTGGTGACACCCTGGGGAAGGGGCACTGCCTTTGAGAGTCAGGGCAGGGGTCCTAGGAGACCATCAGCCGCTCCTTGGGCATGTGGGAAAGGGCGGCCCAGAGCAGGCGAGAGGTCACAGGCACGAACAGCACTGGGACAAAGCACTCTCTGCCCACAAAGGGAAGGAAAGCAGTGAAGTCTGTTGGCTCAAGTATCTCAAAAAGCCCCCATGGAGCCCAGCTGGGCCCAGATCAGGCGCTCAGCTGTGTCTGGGTCTGTCCCTCACCTGCGCCTCCACCTGAGCCTCCTGCCCACTGCAGCCAGGCCCTGTCCACGGGACTCCTGGGGCCACCACAGCCCTGCTCCTTCCTCCTGGGGGACCCACCAAGGCAGACTCCCCTGGGTATGTGCCACCTCTTGGGAGCCAGAGGTGTGAGGGGAAGCTGTGTGACTACGCAGAGGCGTGGGTGTGTGTGGCTGTGCATGTGTGCGTGTGACTCCATGTGGGGTGTGTGTGGCTGGGAAGGGCCCTTCCAGAACTGGAGTGGGAAACGGGTCTTCCCCAAAGGAAGTTGGGAGCCTCTGCTTGAATAGTTACGATCTGCTAATTAGCTTGATTTAATCTTTCTATAATGTGTACACAGATCAAAGCATCACATTGTACCCCACAATTATTATTTGTCAATTATAAAAAGAACAAAGAAAGAAAGAAAGAATCGCCCAAAATTAATTAACAAATGCAGCATTTGCTAGCTAACGTTCGATATTTTGTCACTAGGAAATAACGTGAAGAAAATGAAATTGACCCCTTATTTTAAATGGAGATGTTGTATATTGTATTTTGAAAATCACTGAGAGTAGATTTTGTGTCCTCATCACAAAAAATGACAAATATGTGAGGTAATACCTATGTTAAGTAGCTCGATTGAACCATTCCATAATGTATACATATTTTAAAACATCATGTTGTACACAATAAATATATATAATCATTATTTGTCAATTTAAAATATAAATAAATAAATAGGGACATTTAATATGGAGAAAAATATAAACTTTTGACCATTACATTCAAAACAATGTGGTTCCAGAAAGACTTAGGAAGAAAATAAGATCTGAAGAAGCAGTTCTCACTCCTGAGCTGGAGGGAGCCCTTTCCAGAGGCAGCAGGAGACGGGGAGGAGGGTCAGATGCTCACTGGGGCTGAGGAGGGGCCTGCCACCCGCCCAGGCTGTAGCAGAAGACGAGGCCCACACAGGTTTGGACAGCTGGGGTCAGAGGGCACCCGGGGAAATACTACAGCAAGGGCACGCCGTGCTACCACGGAGGGGCCGGGGTGGGGGAGTCTGCAAGTCTCCTGGGGACCCCAGAGAAGCTGGAGGACAAGGGCCTGCAGGTCAGGGCCAGCTCGGGCTGACACTGAGGACACGCCCTCCACAGAGAAAAGGCGCCTTGGGGATAACTTGTGGGGTGTCACAATGTCCATCCTGGGCAGGCCAGTGTCATCGGTTTATTATAGTCCCCAGAGCATCTCTGGGGTTAAAGAAGAGCAAAGGACCGCTGAGAATTGAGTTTAAATGACCACGTTTACCCGAAATTGGCCAAGATGACATTTTCCATCAGTCAAAAGAGGGGCTCAAAATACAATTTGGTTGAACGATAGAAAAACACAGTACTGGTTTAGCTTCACCTGAGCATGTGCAATGAGAAATGCTTCCCACTGACAACATCCTTCCCACGGTAGCCAGGAAGCTTCTAGAACTTGATAATCTAGGCTGAAGGTGGGAACAGCCAACTCAGCCTCAGGGTGGTACTGGTGGGCCCCCTGGGGCTTGAAGCTTTGCACCCCACACTGAGACCCCAGCAAAGGGAGCAGGGCGGTGGCAGGGGCCGACTTGGCTCCTTGGGGGCTGCCGAGGGGTCCTGTGAGGGCAGCCCGGGCAGGGGTGTCCGGGCAGCTGGACAGCCAAGGCCAGAGCCCGTGGGCAGGAGGAGTGGGCAGCAGGCAGGGCTCCTGGCTGGCTGGAGTCATGGTCCCAGGCGGCAGCTCCAGGCTTCCCCACCCCCGTCTTGACCGCTACGGCTGGGGAAGCCAGGGAGGGGGGCACCAGCCCTCAACCCACACAGTGCTGATCACATCTGTCCAGTTCTGAGGAGGAAATCCAGGTGCTAATGAGAACAGATGAGGTTTCCCAGGCCCAGCACCCGAAATTCAGCAGAGCCGTCAATGGGTTTCCCTGTGTGGCATGAGCGACATCTGGTGGTCAAAAGTGGGGACTTCAAGTCATGTTCCGCTGCCAAGGACACCCCACCAGACCCCTCTGGACAAAAGCAGGTCTGCCACGGAGCCTGGCAGCGGCTCAGCGTGAACCTGAGATGGGGCAGCGGCAAGGAGGTGTTGATATGGGGACACACCTCCTGGGCAGAAGGAGTTTCAGTCACTCATTTATTCATTCTCCCAAGCCTGTATTGAGGGCATGTGAGCATACAGTTAGAGAGATGAACAAAATGGCCATGTCCCATTCATGGAGTTTGCATCCTAATGGGAAAGGGAGACAAGTGTGCAGATAATAAGAAAATTTCATACTGTGTTAAGCACTGTGAGAATTCACCAAGTTCAGGAATAGAGACCAAAATCTTTCTCAGCACCCCAGTAAACTTCATCTTAGCTGCTTCTCCCAATACTCACCTCGACACCTGTCCTGGGCCCCAATAACATGGAGCTCCTGGCAAGTCCTAATCTGTAGGGGCCATCCAGGCCCCAGGGCCTTTGCACATGCTGTTCGTGCTAGCTCCAGTGTCCTTCCCACCTCATGCCCCTGGCAAAGCCTACTTGCCCATTACAACTAAACGCAAAAGTCACCTATTCCAAGAAGCCTTCCCTGATACTCCACGGACAGAACTCATGCACTTTCTAAAGACTCTTAGGCAAGTCAGAGAGTGGAGTGGTTGGATGTGGAATCGGGAAGACCTTGGGTTCCAACCCTGACTCTGCCACCTCCGAATTTTGTGGCCTTGGGCACATTTCTTAGACATTCTTGGCCCTCGTTTCCTTGACAGAGAAAAATTGAAAATATGACAGGACCTTATAACAGGACCTATCACCTAGCTGTGAAACTTAAACCCATGTCAGTAAAGCACTTAAAGACGATGCTTTAAGTAAGTGCTAGCTGTGTCGTCACTGATGCCAGTGCTGTGCGGAGCCTGTGCGTGCGTGTCATCTGGGCTCCCACAGGCTGCGAGAGGCTGTACCTTGTCCTGTCCTGTGGGCCTCTTCCCCTCGCCCCAGAACTGCCTCCAGGACTCCAAGCAGGAGGCAGAGTGATGCTGAGTGCCCTCAGCTAGCAGCAAAGGTGTTGGAGGTGGCCAGAATGTCACCCCACCATCTCCCCGTCCTCCACCCCGGCCAGCACCAGCTGTCAGCAGCAGACTGCAGAGGAGGCACCAGGAGAGATCAGGAGTCAGGGCTGAGCAGGGGTGGGGCTGGGGAGAGGGACACTGTAGGCCTGAGGACCTCGCCCAGGGCCCCCACAAGTGTCAGGCCTTGGACAGAG